AAAATACATTTGTTAGTAATAATTAATATAGATCATGTAATTTACTATCTTCTTGTAAAATCACCTGTTCACTTTCCAGCTTATTACATTTCAAAAAAAGAGAAGTTTCGTACTTACAATATGGTGGATGATATTCTGTTGATCAGCTCATTTCCTGCCTGCATATATTTAGTGTTGACAAACCTATTTACTTTGATAGTGTCGCTTCTCATTTTTCCTCCTATATTTCAATATATGCTTTCTGACATATATAAGTTACTGAAATTAAATCCAAACTTTGCATATCTGAAAGCATTTTTGCTGAAATCGTGTCATCTGAGTTGGATGGTGCACTGGTAATGCTTTCGTTTTAGACACCAATCCAAACGTTAGACGACAATGGGGTGTTAGTTGTTGCCCAAGTGACTAACAGCTTATTTCGTTGGCATTGAATTCGATTGGTTGTTCACAACACTTGCACGTTGGTTGTCGTCTACACGTATGTTCTGATTATCCTTTGTCTTGACTTGATGCTTTACTGATAGTCACTTGTAGCTTTTCTAATTTGTTGGTCGATTAAATCTATTTCAGTATGCTTAGTGATCGCCATTGATTTGAGTACCAAGTTCTGGTTTCTGCTGCGTTACCTCTATCCAATAGTTTAATAGTTTATCAATCAAATGTGTGTCTACAGTTTCCTACATGTGCTATGTAATCAAAGGCATGTCATTGTGTTTAAGAGCTAGTTGATCCTTACTAGGAAGAAAATAAAGAGTCCCATGTAGCATTTTTCAAAATTGGTGCCATTTGTTTTAGGGATGGTGTTTGAATTATTCTATTTAGTTGTTTCAAATTCCGGTTAACACAAGATTGACTGAAGCGACTTTTTTTAAATTTATGAATTAGGAGTGTTTTTATTGGTCCTAGCAAACCGACTGTAATTTCCTGTTTAATTTATAAATGACAGAATAGTTCTAATGTTTGTTTTCATATCTGATTTTGCTCGCGCAACTCACTCTAGCTCTAATGATGTCAAACTGTTGAGAAGGACTCATTGATTACTGGTGACTTTCTTAGATTCTTGATGCACACTTGGCAGATATTCTTGCAAGATGGAATATACTTAAAGGTCGTCATTTTATATTCTTATGACCGTATCCGTAACATGACTACTTTGTTTCTGCATTTCAATCAAAATGAATTAGCATCATATATATTTAAATTTTGGGGCTGTTATATATTGTAACCATTTAATTACAATATCTCAGAAACGAATAGTAATTAATAAACGTTACTATTTTGCATCGAATGATTATCACTGCTAACTGTAGGTTCTCACGAGCGATTACAAAAGATTTACGACATTATCGGAATACTAAATACTGGGAAACAAACAAAAAAACACTTCAGTTCGTGGTACATTACCTTTCTAATCTATCCATTGACAAAACAAAAGACTTACTTACTTACTTATACATGTTACCCCGAATATTCATCAGTGATACCGCCCAGACATGTAAACGTTTCCACATTGTTCAATGCTTCTCCATTAAGTGTGATTTGGTTGGTACAGGGTGTGTTGTACCAAAGAATCTTGCTTCTTCCCTTTGTGTATGTTGAGACCTACTGCTGAAGAGGCTGCTGCTAAACTGGTCGTCATCTCTTGCATTTGTGAGATAGAAGAGCCAGATCATCTGAGAAGCCTAAATTGTCCGGCTGCATCCTGGCTGTCCACCGTGTATCGTGTCGAACACAAGGCGGAAGAGAAAGGGTGAGAGTAAGCAACTTTGCCTGAGACCGGTCTTCACCTCGAATGAGTCTATCAGCTGTCCTTCGTGTACGATTTTTTAGTTTAATCCATCATAAGAATTCTGTAGAATGTTGACTATCCTTTCAGGCACACCGTAGTGTCGAAGAAGCCTCCACACCATCAAATACTTTCTTGTAGTCAATGAAGTTGATGTAGAGTGGTGAATTTCATTCAACTAATTGTTCCACAATAATCCGTAGTGTTGCAATTTGGTCGGTACACGCTCAATTCTTAAGAAATCCAGCCTGTTGATTTTGAAGTTGAGCGTCTACGAAGTCACTCATTCTGTTTAACAATACACTGTTGAGGACTTTGCCTGGTACTGAGAGAAAAGTGATAACTCTGTAATTCTCACACTAGCTGAGATTACCATTCTTTGGTATTTTCATGAAGTATCCTTCTATACAGTCTGTTGATACTTGTTTTTCCTCCCAAAACTGGTGGAAGAGAATGTGGAGTAGTTTTGCAGTTACTGTTACGTCTGCTTTTATTTTCTGTGCTGGAATGTTATCTGATCCCGCTAGCTGTTTTACCGTTCTTAATTTGTCTGAGGGCCATACTGGTCTTTTTAATGTTGGGATGTCCGTGAATGCTGCTTCGATGGTGGGTGTGTTCAGTGGGGCTAGTCGATTCAAGAAATGTTCAAGGTACTCTACCCACCTGTTTCACTGTTCTTCACTGTTGCTGATCAATTTGGCTTCCTTGCTTTTCTTTGGTCGTTCTGGTTACAAAATTTTTCAGCAAGCTTCTTTGTCGCATCAAATAGTTGTCTCAAGTTTCCTTCTTTTACAGCCTTTTCCGCCCTCATTGCTAGAGCATTCGCATATTTTCGTATGTCGGCTCTGATGCTTTTCTTCACTTTCCTGTTTGCTTCTGTGTATTCGGCTTGTGCCTTAACTTTCTCTGCTCTTGTTCGACTAATGTTGATTGCCACCTTCTTGTTCCTCCCTACTTCAATTTTTTCTAGAGTACCAACAGAGATCCATTCCTTCTGATGGTGATTCGTGTGGTCCAGAAACTCCTGACATGTTGAACTGATTGCCTCCTTGGTCCCTTTCCAGTTGTTCACCATTCAAGTTTCCCCTCCATTGAGTAGGTCTTGCAAGGCCAGTAACCAATCGCTCAGGGCTATCTTAAATTTGTCGAGTTTTCCAGTATCCCGCTGGAACTCCGTGTTAAACTTTTTTGATGTTTTTCGCCCCGTTTTCCAGTGTTTCTTGAGTTTCAGTCTAATTTCGGTGACCAGCAAGTGGTGATCTGAAGATATATCAGCTCCTCTGTTGATTTTCACGTTCTTCATTGTCCTTCTGAACTTTTTATTGATACAGATATGGTCTATTTGGTTCTGAGTAGTGTAATCCGGCGAAATTCATGTGGCTTTGTGTATGCGTTTGTGTGGGTGTATTGTGCCGCCTATGATCAGTTTGTTGAAGGCACATATGTTTGCAAACATCTCACCGTTTTCGTTCCTTTCTCTCAGTCCATAGTGTCCCATGATGTCTTCATATCCAGTGTTGTCTATGCCTTGGTATTTAGGTCTTCAATCAGAATGGTCAAATCCTTTGATGAGCATTTCTCGACGTTTGACTGCAGCCTCTTGTAGAATTGATCTTTAGCGTCTTAATTCTAATCATTGATGGGTGCATAGCATTGGACGACGTTCATTGTAATGTTTTCTTTCTTTATTTTTAAGGATGCTTTGATGATCCTGGGTCCATGAGATCTTGACAGTGCCAGTGCAACTCCTTGTGTATGTGTAGAATTTCCTTCTTCGTTACCGTGTGACAATAGCAGCTCTGCTGAAGCTAGTATTAGTTGTCCAAACTTGCGTCCAATATGTTTCAATGATTTCAAGCACCTCCAGGTTGTATATTTACATCTCCACAACAATTTGGAACAGTCTTTCGGTCTCCCACATTGTTCGAACAATCCATGTACCTAAACTAATGGTCGCTGTAGTTTCAAAGGTGCATTTGTAGTGTGCCGATAACTGCGTGTTCTTAAGCTCGGTTTATAAATCAGAAGATGAACTCCAAGTATCGTATACGTTTATTGTAGCACACCACAATAAGGATAGCAGAGAAGCGAATTGGAGAAGGCTAAGAGCCAACTCTTTGGGATTACAATGCGAGTGAATGAGCGAAGCGAATAGGAGAAGGCTAAGAGCCAACTCAAAGAGATAGAGTATGACTAAGAATATATAGTCAGATAAGAATAAGACAGACATCAGTTTTCTCCATCCAACTCTGTCCTGTGTTTCCCTTTCCAGTTCTTTCCAATGTTTGTTCATTCCTCTCATATCTTTCTCTATCACGCGACGTCATAATTCTTCTTCCAACTCCCAGGGCAGAATGAAAATGGTTTGAATTATTTTTTCTGGTTAGCGTTTGTTTGGTAAGTTAGTTTTTGACGGGATAGGGTCACCAACCCCATGCGCAACCCTCCTCCTTTATCCGGACTTGGGACCGGCAGTAACCCCTAAGGTTCTACTGGCGGAGTTAATTACACACAACTTGGTCTATTATTTCTGTTTTTTTATTGGAAATAAATTTCTTTCAATTATCTGCTCACTTCCTAATTATTTCTAATGATAGAAAATGTAAAAACTAATGAAATATTTAGAACTATGTAGCATAACTGATCACTATATGGTTTAATGCGACAAAACAAAATTCAAAACAAGAAAAAAAAACAATTCCAACTAAGGTCTACATTACTGAAAATTAGTCTAACTTTTACCATAATATACAATCTAATATAATACAATAAACCAGATAATTAGGTTAATCTCAACCTATTCTTTTGTTGTCGTTGTTTTCATTTTTAAATTTACTAGAATAATCTTTATCTGGATTGAAAAATTATTTTTTATTCTGTTATATTCATCATACTAATGGACCGATTGAGTTGCTTTTCCTTAAGTGCGCATTAAGTTGACCTTGACACGATTCATCAATCAATGGACTAGTAGTGGAATGACCAATCATATATTTAGTAAACGATGTTGTTATAGTTACATTAGGAGTATATAAAATATATCCCTCAACAATTTTTCATGAATTATATGTAACGCGTGATCGTGTCCCTCTCATATATATTAATAAATTGTGATTTTATCAGCAATAAATACCAATTATTTGAAACTGCATTCTGCGGAAAAATATATAATTTTATTTAACCTTATTGTAATTTGAAGCAAAAATTCAAATTTATTGGATTCAAAAATGATTGCAGCACAGTCTACGAGTAATTCAAATTACCAAGACAAGTTGAAGTTGTTAAATGCTTGTCGTCAAGGTGATTTAGACTATTTAGGCAAATTTATTGTCGATGGGGGAAATCTCCGAAACATAATTGATAATCAAACGGGACAAACTGCATTACATTATTGTGTTAAATGTGGAGAAGAGGAAACTGTTATTGAAAAAGATAACAAAGAGCCAAATAAAAATGACATCGAAATCTTTCAACCAAAATTCGACAGATTAAAATGTACACGTGTCATAATTAAATCAAATCCAGAATTTTTAACTTACTACGATTATAATGGATTCACTCCGATACATTTAGCAGTAATTCATGGGGATGTAGATTTTTTAAAAGTATTAAATGAATTTAATAATGTAGATATGAAAATTAAAACAAAAGCAAAATCCCTAATGTCATCATCATCATCAACAAGTCATAGTGATTCGACTGAAATGAATAATACAGGTCGGACAGTTGTACATCTATGTGTTATTTACTCTCAATTAGATGTTTTGAATTATCTTTTATCAAACAGTAATAGTCATAATTCAATAAAAGAAATTATAAATGAATGCGATGATCAAGGTGCCACAGCTTTGCATTATTCTGTTCAAATGAATCATGAACAAATCGATGAATTGTTTGAATTGTTAATCAATATTGGCGGCTCCAATTTAAATGCACCAGACACACATGGTCGTACACCGATTATATGGGCAGCTACAGTTGGTTCTACGCATGCTGTAGAATTATTACTTAAATTGGGTGCTAATTTAAATCATAAAGATTCTCATGGTTTGACAGCATTACATTGCGCTGCATCTAGAGGTAATTTACAGACTGTTCAAACTATCCTGGATTGGATATCAGTTGCGAACAAAGATGATGAGAGTAAAATCGCCCTGTTTCGTGATGTGAATGATAATGATGGATGCAGTCCATTATTTTATTCTGTTGCAACTGGTCATGTACACGTAACTGAATGCTTAATTAAAGCAGGAACAAATGTTATGCATACGGATTTTAAAGGTCGTACTGTATGTCATTGTTTAGCTAGATTAAATTCATTGTCTAATGGAATTAAATTTGACAATCTTATTAAAACCCAATTGACTTGTTTAATTAAAGCTGGTCTAAATCCATGGCTTGCAAATAAAACTGGTTTAACTGCTTTACATGAAGCATGTTTATTAAAAAATGTATCTCTTATTAAACAGTTAGCTAATTTACCAGGTTTTAACACAATTATAAATGCCAAAGAAGCTCAAGGTCATACGCCATTGCACTTAGTTGTAGCAGCTTCATGGAGTACTGAGCCATCCGGTATAAGATTATGTCACTATCTCTTAGAACATGAAGCTGATGTAAATGCTGTTACCCATCTGCCAAATAATGAACATGTTACGCCATTAAATCTTGCTTATTTAAATGAGACTAATGATGAGACGGCGAAAAATTTACTAATTAATCTGATAAAACAATATGGTGGTCGAACATATCAAGAACTATTAAATGAAGGAAAAGTTATTATTGATACGGTTCATATGAGTTGTGAAACTAATGATACCAATAAAGATATTAACACTAGCGGTAAGCATGATGATATTCATCAAAATAATCTGTCAAAATCTGGTGTTATCGATTCGGAAAATGAACTAAAGCCGGAAAATCAGATAGAAATTTCAAGTTTCACAGAAGTAGTAGAAACAACAGGGAAAGAAAGACCACAAATGATTGATTCAGCCACTGAACCTATAAGGGAAGTCATTGTATCGACAACTTTAAAGGATTCAAGTGCACAAGCATGTCTGGATAAAAGGCAAAGACGTAAAAATCTGTCAACACAATCGTTAACATCACTGTTGTCGGAAAAATCATTGCCTGAAGATATTGGCGCACTTAGAGTTACCACAGACGAAAGCTGTTCATCTACCGCTTTAAACAATAAAAGTGGCAGAAGCTATTCCAATAATCAGGATATTAAACAAAATACAAATACTTCAACCCAGCTCATAGTCCGAGTGCCAACTCCATCAGATTTAAAATTACAAAATGACAAGTCTAATGTAAGTAACGATGAAGGTGATGAAAAGAAAAATTTCGCAATCCCTTCAGACTCAACAAATAAGAATCAAATTAATGTAAGAAACAACAATCGTCAACACTTCCCACAATCATCTGGAATGGATGATAAAACTGTAACCAATTCAAAACATTTACCATATTCACAAATCTTTTTAGAAAAAGAACTACCTTTAGCATTAAAACAATATTTGGAAAAAGAAAATTACAATTACTCACCCTTAACAGGACGTACTCGTATGCCTAGACCAACTATATCACCCTATCTACAACCTGTTGTACCCGGTCTACCGTTTTATAAAGAAAAGTCTTCATTGCCTAAAAAGAACATTCAAAACAAACGTACTCCCATAAAACAAGCTCAATTGGCTAGTGTATTTAACAATAATCGAGACTGTTCAAATAATCAACAAACTAAATCTGTCCCTAAAACAAATACTAAAATAATTCATCACAAACGATTTAGTTCATCAGCATCCAGATCTAATTATTCCACAATGGATGATATTTCTACTCCTGAAAATCATCATACTGATGCAACAATACACAAAAATACAAAACCTTCCCAGATGCGTTCACAATCGTCTAAAAATCTATATTCATCGTCGAATATTAATCATGAAGTGCAACAAAGTGTGGCAGATTATGAATTTTATCGATTCCTAAACCAGTTATTAAAACAAACCAGTCCTATAACACAGAGAAAAAAGAAAAGAGCAACCAAAACCACAACTACAACTGTAACGCCGAAAATGAGTTCCAAGAACAAACAATCAACTGGTGCATACGGTGATCGACATTCTGCTATGGGAGGTGAACTAACGCCTATTGATAATCATGGCGCTGAACCAGATATGGACAGTGAAACTGCAAATTTGAACAGAAAAAAGTCAGCTAGCAAACAGTTGCACATATAATGAAACCCAGTAAAAACAGTTAGATCGAAATTAATAATAGTAGTTAACTTTGATGATATACAATTTCATCAACAGAAAATACAACATTAAGATGATTATTGTGAAAAAAAACAACAAAAACAATGTGCTTCCTTACATAGAATGTCATTCACAATGAAACAGATGGATAGATAAATAGTGCTCTTCTTTATACATTCATGCACTCACTACTTATGCAAAACTGCTTTTTGATTTTCAAGATTCTTGAGTACATTGGAATTGTTTCGTTTTGTTTTGTTTTTGTTTTATTTTGCAAGACTTAACATTTTGAAATGATCATGTCGATTAATTTATTCACTTTCTTTTTTAAGTGTTTACATATGGAATTTGTACACAAAAATTCACTGTTAATTGGATTACTATAATTATTATTATTATTATTATTATTATTATTTATTGATAAACTTGTATTGGTATGTTATTTTACTTATGTTACTTTTGAATCTGCCTGTATCATGAAGTCATTGTTTTCACTTTGTGTGTACTAGGAATGATATTTTTTACTTCTGCATAGAACTCACTAATTTTGATTTTTTTTTTTCATGTTTATAATTAACATATCATAGAAATTAGCATCATGTTATTAGTAGTATTAATTGTTCTTTAGCTAAGAAGAGTAATTATTCCATGAAAGAATGTTTTAAGTAGTTTATTGTGAATGGATCAGTTTTGTGGTTAGGTGGAGAATTACTTAAATACCCCATAGATTTCGAATGTTCTATGTATCTCTGTAGGTACCAAAAAATTATTAATTGCGATAGGAAACTAGGCGTCAGACGTTGAAACATTTAGACTATCATTTAAAGTAAGTGACTGATTGATCTTGAAAAAACTACTTAAATCAACTTTAGAGAACCATTATTTGTCTCAAATATTTCTGTTAAGCGATAGATAACGATTTTCACAATAGAATTATGGAGATTGTTTGGCTTCACAGAAGTGATGAATCGATCATTAACAATCGGCATAACGCTATAATGAAAATCATAAAATGTGCTTACGAGTGACGAGCTTTGTGATAAAATTCTCAGAGTTCTAGTGTGAAGCTGTGACCGGTGGATTCCAACGTTGTCAGATATAAACAGTTACCTACCGAAGACATTGAGTGAGATTGAGCCATACCTTAGATTGATCACAGTTAGACTTTAACAACTCCGAATGCTGATTCAGTGGTCTAGAGGTTAAGCGTTCGAGAATGAAACTGTAGGTCCTGGGTTCGACTCCTACGAGCGAGCTCTTGGATGCGCACTTCCGATGAGTCCCATGCTAGAACGAAACGGCTGTCAATTGCTTTCAGGTTCCTAATGGTGGTCTTACAATGATCCATTCATTATTTCGATGAAAGTTAACAAGCTAGTAGTTTGAATGAAGGGAATACACTTTGAGTGCGTAGTTTAAAATAATATCTAGCAGTGAATAACTGTAAAATATTGATAATCTCCACGTTGTTAGAATAAAATATATATAAGTAAACAAGATTTTTCTCAACTCGACCTTCATCAGGCTTTACTCTATTATACAATAATATTAGTGTGCTGACACATAAATATTCAACAACAAAAAAATAGTTTCTGTCATTGATAGCAGTGTAGTGAATTACATCATAATGATTCTGCTAAATTCCTAAAGGTTTGAGTCATGCAGTTGTTAATATTCACGACTGAATGAGTTGTATTAATAAGCAATCAGTAAAAAGTACAGGTGAACTAGTTGTGGTAAGAATAACAAAGGTTTGAATCATTGTCTCTTAATTGACAGTGAAACTGCATTCATTAAAAGTTATTAAGATTATTTAATTAGAGGTGATCTGATAATTAGACAGTGAAGATTATAGTATAGCAACTTACATCCATCTGTTTATGTCTAATTTATAAAGGCCGTTTTATTAACTTATTTAACAGACTGAGTCATTGGTACAGCAACAACTTATCTGCACCATTGTGCTTTTGTTATTGTTGCGCTTGTATGAGCATGTATGCTTCACCATTGCTTACCACCTAAACGCATATTCACATTCTACTCGCTTTGTTGTCAGCTGCTGAAATAATTCGATGATTCATTCATTTCCCTGTGTATATATTTTTAAATCCTATCCAGTCACTCGTTCATCCGATCTCTTGCTTGCTCTTCAGCACTCACATATCATGTTGCTTTCACTTTGTATGCCTGTGGTTCTGTGTGATCAGTGTGATGCGATAAGAAACGTAATCGACACTTTGTATTCGTCTTTTGATTTATGCACCGTTGTGCATAATCCAGTAACGATTATCCGGATGAGTAGTATACGAAGTTTAGGAATATACCGAATACCGACCGCCACAATATTTGAAAACAGGGCTGAAGAAGGATGAACGACTAAAGGTAAGCAAAGCAGCATTATAATACAATAACTTAGCGGAATAGAAATCAATTCAGAGGTTTTAAATGTTTTGAGTTAATTAACATGTGTATGATACATTGTTTTGTCAGCACTTATAGATTTTCTATGTTCAGTTGTGCACTGAAAAATAAAAGCTAATAAAGTATATAGAAGTACTGTTTGAAAATCAGGCGCATTTATAAATTAAACAATAAGATCATTTTATTATCGTTTAATTCCTACTAATTCCTGAATGATTTATGCCTTCATTGCACAATGAGACATAGACAATGTGTACCTGAGACTAATGGTTCAGGCTGTTACATTTCTTATTAGTATGGCTAAAGAAGTTTAGTTAATTGTTCAGTGTCTGATTCCTCGCTTACAAATTTGTGTAACAAAGCTCCAGTGTTGTTTTCTTTTCAGATTTCATTTATGTTAGCTTAAATAAAAAGTCAGGAATAATATGAAAATAATGATTTGTATTGAGATTATTACTAAGTATAATACAACACACATACTTTAATATAAATGTATAGTTAGGTGAAAAGTATTTTTTTTTTTAATTTGAGAATGACATGAATGATTGTAATTGTCAAATAAAATCCATTGGCTAAATAATCAATTCTTACTGGTTAGGTAACAATTTTTACTCGATAGAGTTCGAATTTCATATTACCTCATGTATCATTTTGAGATAATAAAAAAAATACACCAAAATAAAAAGTTAGCATACAACTGACTGTTTTCATTGTGATGAATTATTTTCATGTAGACATATGAATTTTGTAGTCTACTTATTGTTTTTCTAGTTAATACATTTTGTAGGTTAGAAATGCTCCGATGTTACATTACCTGCACACCATGCGAATTAGTAACTTATCTATTATAAGTAGATAAAGCCAAAACTATTTGATCACATATTTTCCCGTTATAGGAATATTTGTGAAGGTGACAATGTTTGGTTAAAGTTTTAATCGGTGTCAACTGAATTCAATATAAACTAAACGGAAATCTCTAGCCTGTTATAACTGTACTAAATTAGTAAAGGTTTCAGTTTTTCAGTTGTGAATATTCAGGAGTGAATCTTGACTAGACGTTATTGGTGTGTGTATATGAATTCTGGGTAAACTGCTTTGATATTGGCATTTTGTCACATAACATATGTTTCTAGTAGTGGAATCTAGAACGTTTTAGTGACAATATGAACATCTACTTATTGAACAAAGCGGAAACTTGAACTCAGTAGTTAGTGGCTACCTTAACTCAATAGGTCAGCGGATAACATGATGGCATGATTCAATTATTCTGGAAGTCATACTGATTTACCAAGCTCATAATATATAATTGATTAACTAATTTTGATGATTTCTAATATGTATTAAAATATATAATTAGTAGCAATTTACGTAGTTCTCTTCCATATCTGATTTTGTATTAAAAAATGTATTAGAGCAAATTTTCCACCAAAGTGTTTATTTAAAGATTAGTCGTATTAATAGTCGAACATAAGTAATATTTGTTTGAAGCAATACAAAAACCAGGATAATTATGTGATCAATAATTTTAACTAACTTTAAGGGACATTAATACCCTTTCATATGTTATCATATATGGTTCCTGTTTATTTGTCTAGAAAATGTCTGCTCAAATCAATGTTAATATTACTTTCACTGAAGTTAATTAAAATATTTTTAATATACTTTAAAGTTAATGGATTTTCATCAACGACTCTACAATATGATTAAAAGTTATCACTGAGACAAATAAAACACATAAAATCAATTATTTTAATATATGGAATAATTTACCATTCACTCGACCCTGCTAAGAGCTTAAAGTATTTGAATTATGAACTTATTCTAGCTAGTAATTAGAGGACGATTTTGCACAGAAATACCAAGACTTGCAAATCACAGTCATGACGTCAGTAATTATATAGTATTGTCTAGTGTTTACTATTATGTCGAGCTCACATGGCTTGTCCAAGCCTTTGGACAAATCAATGAATCCAGAATTTCAGGAGTTATTTACACATCTCATTCGACTTTCTTATTTGTTCGCTTTTAACCTTGGTTGTTGTTACTTGACTGCGAATATGCACTGCTTGCTTCACAATCACATATCTAGCTTATTTTATGTCTGACAATAAATACTTAATCAAGCTTCATTACGAGGAGTTGGCCCACCTGCGTTTTCTGCTTTTTTTTAGCTTTTACGTTTCCCATTCTAATGTATATTTGCTTACAGAATGTTTGAGGTAAATTCATCTAAAATAAACCGTATAGGGCTTTGATTTAACGCCGTCGCACAAACGGAGTTAACCGAAATGTAATGTACAGAAAATCAAATGGAAGATTTGTTTCATGGCAAATTTAATTGTTCGTCCTGGTTTATAGCTTATAGTATAAGTAATTTATCAATACAAAGTTTGGAAAATCTTTTATTTGATCCAGTGTATTTTCAAACTATATTCATTTATTTCAATGTTGTTTCTGTACATTGACGATTTTTTATATAGGCGTCAAGTCGAACAAGAACAACACTTGCTAACTAAAAATGTATTATTCGTTTTATGTCTAAGCTTTGTATTAGTTCCAGA